ATCCTGGGTGGATTCCGCGGGAAGGGATCCCGGAAGGATTCCAGAATTCCCAATTCCAGGTTTGATCCCATCTCCTTTCCCTCCCGCAGAGCAAAGACCGGGACAGGAAGACGGGACAGCTCCGGAGCTAGGCCGAAAATTCCAGCCGGGAATTCCAGCCGGGAATCCCAGTGGGAATTCCAGCCGGAGCACGGGGAAGCCACGTCGGAGGATTCCCGGATCCGGGGACGTTTTCCTGCCGGATCCCGCGGGAAGAGCGGCACCGACATTCCAGAGGATCCCACGGGACACAGAGGATGTGCCGGAATTCCGGGAGGTCCAGGGAATGCGGAGCCGCTCCGGGAATCCTTGGGAATTCCTGCCCTGGGATTCCGGATCACGGAACACTTGGAACTCTGGGAATCCTCAGGAATTCCTGCCCTGGGATTCCGGATCATGGAACACTTGGAACTCTGGGAATCCTCAGGAATTCCTGCCCTGGGATTCTGGATCATGGAACACTTGGAACTCTGGGAATCCTCAGGAATTCCTGCCCTGGGATTCCGGATCATGGAACGCTTGGAACTCTGGGAATCCTCAGGAATTCCTGCCCTGGGATTCCGGATCATGGAACACTTGGAACTCTGGGATCTGCTCCAGGAATTCTTGGGAATTCCGGTTCTGGGATTCCAGATTACAGAACACTTGGATCCGCTCTGGGAATTCCTGCCCCGGGATTCTGAATCATTGAACACTTGGATCTCTGGGAATCCAGTCTGGGAATTCCTGCCCTCGGATTCTGGATCATGGAACACTTGGAACTCTTGGATCCAGTCTGGGAATCCTTGGGAATTCCTGCCCCGGGATTCTGGATCATGGGACACTTGGATCCACTCTGGGATCTACTCTGAAAATCCTTGGGAATTCCTGCCCTGGGATCACGGAACACTTGGATCTCTGGGAATCCTTGGGAATTCCTGCTCTAGGATTCCGGATCATGGAACACTTGGATCACTTGGATCCACTCTGGAATTCCTGCCCCAGGATTCTGGATCACGGAACACTTGGATCTCTGAGAATCCTTGGGAATTTCTGCTCTGGGATTCTGGATCATGAACACTTGGATCCACTCTGGGAATCCTTGGGAATTCCGGATCATTGAACACTTGGATCTGCTCCAGAAATCCTCAGGAATTCCTGCCCTGGAATCTCTGCTCATGGAACACTTGGATCTCTGGGATCCACTCTGAAGATCCCTGGGAATCCGTGCCCTGGGATCCATGGATGCTCACGGACATTTGGGCTTTTCCAGAGCCATTTCCCAGATCCACTTCCTGCCTGGAGCCACCTGATCCCGGAACCGATCCTGGAATCGATTCCTGAACTGATCCCAGAATTGATCCCGGAACTGATCCCAGAATTGATCCTGAAATTATAAATCCTGGAATTGATCCCTGAACTGATGCCAGAATTGATCCTGGAATTATAAATCCTGGAATTGATCCCTGAACTGATCCCAGAATTGATCCTGAAATTATAAATCCTGGAATTAATTCCTGAACTGATCCCAGAATTGATCCTGGAATTATAAATCCTGGAACTGATCCCTGAACTGATCCAGGAACGGATCCCGGCCCCGATCCCTGAGCGCGGGGTGCAGGGGCTGCATTTTTTGGGAATTATCAATCACATGCTGGAATTTCATGTTGTTGATGTGGGAATTAATTAAAGCCGGAATTTGTGTCATTAATCGGGAATCTGGGTCATGATCTTTGAGGGAATTCCTTCTTTTCCCTTTTCCCAATATCCCTTTCCCCATTTTTCCTTTCCCTTTTCCCTTGTTCCCTTCTCCTTTTTTCCTTTTCCTTTTACCTTTTTCCCATTTTCCCTTTCCCCATTTTCCCTTCTCCTTTTCCCTTTCCCTTTTCCCAATTTCCCTTTCCCCATTTTCCCTTTCCTTTTTCCCATTCCCTTCTCTATTCCTTCTCCCCTACTCCCTTTTCCTTCTCCTTTCCCATTTTCCTTTCCTTTCCCTTTCCTTTCCTTTCCTTTCCTTTCCTTTCCTTTCCNATGGGATATGGAATGTGGGATATGGGATGTGGGGATGGGGGAAAACGGGATATGGGGGGATATGAGAAATGGGATATGGGGAACTGGGAAATGGGATATAGGATGTGCGGAAATGGGATACGAGGATATCGGATATGGGAAATGGGATGTGTGGAAATGAGATATGGGGAATTGGTATGTGGGGAACTGGGAAATGGGATGTGGGGAAATGGGAAATGGGATGTGTGCAAATGGGATATGAGGATATGGGATATGGGAAATGGGATGTGGGATATGGGATATGGGGAAATGGGATATGGGGAATATGGGAGAATGGGATGTGGGGAAATGGGATACGGAATATGGGGAATGGGATGTGGGAAATGGGATATGGGGAATGGGGATATGGGATATGGGGAATATGGGAGAATGGGATGTGGGGAAATGGGAAATGGGGAATGGGATATGAGGATATGGGATATGGGGATATGGGATGTGGGGAAATGGGATATGGGGAATAGGGATATGGGGAATGGGGATATGGGGAATGGGGATATGGGGAATATGGGAGAATGGGATGTGGGGAAATGGGAAATGGGGAATGGGATGTGGGGAAATGGGATGTGGGATATGGGGAATGGGGAAAGGGGTATGGGGAAATGGGATGTGGGATACAGGGAACTGGGAACAGGGATATGGGAAATGGGATATGGGGAAAGGAATATGGGGAACTGGGAAAAAGGGATGGAGAAATGGGATGTGGGGAAAGTGATATGGAGAACTGGGAAATGGGAAATGGGGAACTGGGAAATGGGAACAGGGAAATGGGAACAGGGAAATGGGAACTGGGAACTGGGAAATGGGAACAGGGAAATGGGAAATGGGAAATGGGAGATGGGAACTGGGAAATGGGAGATGGGAACGGGGAAATGGGAAATGGGAACGGGGAAATGGGATGGGGAACTGGGAAATGGGAAATGGGGAACTGGGAAATGGGATGTAGGGAACTGGGAAATGGGAACAGGGAAATGGGATATGGAGAACTGGGAAATGGGAACTGTGGAACTGGGAAATGGGATATGGAGAACTGGGAAATGGGAANCATTCCTAATTCCTGACCATTCCCAGTGAATCCCAGCTCCCACTCCCATTAAATCCCATCCCTATTCCCAGTGACTCCCAGCTCTCATTCCCAATTCCTGACCATTCCCAGTGACTCCCAGCTCTCATTCCCAATTCCTGACCATTCCCAGTGAATCCCAGCTCTCATTCCTAATTCCTGACCATTCCCAGTGACTCCCAGCTCTCATTCCTAATTCCTGACCATTCCCAGTGAATCCCAGCCTCCATTCCTAATTCCTGACCATTCCCAGTGAATCCCAGCTCTCATTCCTAACTCCTGACCATTCCCAGTGACTCCCAGTCCCCATTTCCAGTAAATCCCAGTCCCTATTCCCAAGGAACCCCAGCTCCTATTCCCAATTCCTGACCGTTCCCAGTGACTCCCAGTCCCATTCCCAGTGATTCCCAGGGTGCATTCCCAATTCCTGACCATTCCCAGTGACTCCCAGCCTCCATTCCTAATTCCTGGCCATTCCCAGTGAATCCCAGCTCCCATTCCTAATTCCTGACCATTCCCAGTGAACCCCAGCCTCCATTCCCAGTGAACTCCAGCTCTCATTCCCAATCCCCGACCGTTCCCAGTGACTCCCAGCCCCCATTCCCAATCCCTGACCGTTCCCAGTGACTCCCAGCTCTCATTCCCAATCCCTGACCATTCCCAGTGAATCCCAGCCTCCATTCCTATTTCCTGACCATTCCCAGTGAATCCCAGCCCCAATTCCTGACCGTTCCCAGTGACTCCCAGCTCCCATTCCCAATTCCTGACCATTCCCAGTGAATCCACGCTCTCATTCCCAATTCCTGACCATTCCCGGTGACTCCCAGCTCTCATTCCCAACTCCTCACCATTCCCAGTGACTCCCAGCCCCCATTCCCAATTCCTCACCATTCCCAGTGACTCCCAGCTCTCATTCCCAATTCCTGACCATTCCCAGTGAATCCCAACACCCATTCCCAACTCCTCACCATTCCCAGTGACTCCCAGCTCTCATTCCTAATTCCTGACCATTCCCAGTGAACTCCAGCTCTCATTCCCAATTCCTGGCCATTCCCAGTGACTCCCAGCCCCATTCCTAATTCCTGACCATTCCCAGTGAACCCTGGCCCCCATTCCCAGTGACTCCCAGCCCCCATTCCCAGTGAATCCACGCTCTCATTCCTAATTCCTGACCATTCCCAGTAACTCCCAGCTCCCACTCCCATTAAATCCCATCCCTATTCCCAGTGAATCCCAGCTCCCATTCCTAATTCCTGACCATTCCCAGTGAATCCCAGCCCCAATTCCTGACCATTCCCAGTGACTCCCAGCCCCATTCCCAACTCCTCACCATTCCCGGTGACTCCCAGCTCTCATTCCCAATTCCTGACCATTCCCAGTGAATCCCAGCCTCCATTCCCAGTGACTCCCAGCTCTCATTCCCANTCTCATTCCCAATTCGTGACCATTCCCAGTGAATCCACGCTCTCATTCCTAATTCCTGACCATTCCCAGTGAACTCCAATCCCCATTCCCAATTCCTAACCATTCCCAGTGAACCCCAGCCCCCATTCCCAGTGACTCCCAGCTCTCATTCCCAATCCCTGACCATTCCCAGTGAACTCCAATCCCCATTCCCAATTCCTGACCATTCCCAGGCACTCCCAGCCCCCATTCCCAGTGAACTCCAGCTCTCATTCCCAATTCCTGACCATTCCCAGTGAACCCCAGCCTCCATTCCCAGTGACTCCCAGTCCTCATTCCCAATCCCTGACCGTTCCCAGTGAATCCCAGCTCTCATTCCCAATCCCTGATCATTCCCAATGAATCTCAGCCCCCATTCCCAGTGATCTCCAGCTCCCATTCCCAATCCTTGACCATTCCCAGTGACTCCCAGCTCTCATTCCCAACTCCTGGCCATTCCCAATGAACCCCAGTTCTCATTCCTAATTCCTGACCGTTCCCAGTGAACCCCAGTTCTCATTCCCAATTCCTCACCATTCCCGGTGACTCCCAGCCCCCATTCCCAGTGAACTCCAGCTCTCATTCCCAATTCCTGACCATTCCCAGTGAACCCCAGCCTCCATTCCCAATCCCTGACCATTCCCAGTGAATCCCAGCCCCCATTCCCAATTCCTGACCATTCCCAGTGAACCCCAGCCTCCATTCCCAGTGAACTCCAGCCCTCATTCCCAACTCCTGACCATTCCCAGTGATCCCCAGCTCTCATTCCCAATCCCTGGTCATTCCCAGTGAACTCCAGCTCTCATTCCCAATTCCTCACCATTCCCAGTGACTCCCAGCCCCCATTCCCAGTGATCCCCAGCTCTCATTCCCAATCCCTGGTCATTCCCAGTGAACTCCAGCTCTCATTCCCAATTCCTGACCATTCCCAGTGAACTCCAATCCCCATTCCCAATTCCTGACCATTCCCAGTGAACTCCAGCTCTCATTCCCAATTCCCGACCATTCCCAGTGAATCCACGCTCTCATTCCCAATCCCTGGCCATTCCCAATGAATCCCAGCCCCCATTCCCATTAAATCCCAGCCCCCATCACTCCCGGTGACTCCCAGCCCCCAGCGTTCCCAATCCCGGGCCATTCCCGGCCTCTGGAATGAGCTGCCAGGCTCCCACCTGATCCATCAGCAGCTGCTCCCGGCCATTCCCGGCCCGCACCTGCAATTCCTGCCGGGAACCACATGTGACCCCTCCTGTGATCCCTGATTTATTCCCTGCCAGCCAGCGCTCTCCCCCCTCCTCTCCCCGTGCCTGCCAGCTGGGAATCACATCCCAAAATAAAAAAAAAAAACCCATCCCAAAAAAAAACCACCCCCGGCGGTCACAGCGAGCGCTCCCCGCTCCTTTCCATCCCGCTTTTCCCGNATCCCAATTCCCAGTGGGGAACTGAGAAACGGGATATGGGATGTGGGGATTGGGATGTGGGGAAATGGGGGAATGGGATGTGGGGAACGGGATATGGGGAAAGGAATATGGGGAACTGGGATGGGGAACTGGGAAAAAAGGATGGAGAAATGGGATATGGGGAAAGTGATATGGAGAACTGGGAAATGGGAACTGGGAACTGGGAAATGGGGAACTGGGATATGGGAATTGGGAAATGGGATGTGGGGATCCCAGAGGCGAGCATGGACACGGAGACTCCCGGAATTCCGGGATGGACAGAAGGACAGAGGGAAGGCTGGACCTGGACCCTGCCGGCTCCAAGCACGGCATTTCCATGGACAGGGACAATTCCCGGGATCCCGGAGCGCTCCAGCCCGGCCTGGATTCCTTGGGAATT